CTCTCTCAAACCCCACTGGTTAAAGAGCAAACCTGCTCTTGATGAAGGTTGACAGAGATATATCAGGCATCCCCATGCCTGTAGGAAATGTAAACTCCTACAGGCTTGAGAGCCAACTGGCATGCCAGAGGAGAAGGTCACATACTGTACATTGAGCCCAGGCAATGAGAATGCCATCGCCCTGAAGGTGGCAGCGAGGAAAGGAGACCTGGGATCTTCAAAGAGAAAGTGAAGAGGGACGAGGGAAGGATTAAACCCCAGCACCTAAGCAGAGCACTAGAGAGCTTCAGTGAGAGGTAATGTCAATGGGGAATGCACAGGGGCTTTGCAAATCGAAAAATGACCCCAACAAAGGCAAAGAATCCCTTGAGAAGATGTATTTCCAACCTTCTGCATCTATTTTAGGTTAAAGCAGGCCTGACACTGGTGTTTTCTGAGTGCTATTTCAGCTGATAACAGCAAGGCTGATTCAAACACAGATCAGAGAGTGTGTGTCTGCACTTCATTCAAACAGCAAAATACTGGAGATCCCACTGAGATCAGCACCCCCTTTCCATCAGCATTCACCGTCTCTCTGAACAGCCTGCTCTAGTTCAGGCAGAAGTAACAGGCTTGATGCAGGGGTCAATGCCAGGTAACCACTGTGTTAAGCAAAAGGTTATAGAACCATAGAATGGTCTGAGTTGGAAGGGACCTTTAAAGGCCATCTAGTCCAACCCCCCTGGAATGAGCAGGGTCAGCCTTCTGAGTCATACCCTGGCCTTAAAATCTAAGAAACTATGAGCTGGCTGATGTCTATAGGAACGTTCCTTAGCTTCACTTTGAGTTTTATGTACTTCTGGACTAAAAGTCTCTGGCACGGGGTAAGAAACTGCTGCTCAGATGACCATCATTGGGTTCAAGAGTACAAGCTCTCACCAGCCTTAATGACTTCAGGGACCTTCAGGGTCCCTGTGACCTTCAGGGGCTTCCAGGGTGGGATGCAGTCTGCAGATTTAGACACCTAGATGTGCTCATCTGTACCCTCAGTGTCTAAATAGAGATCCCATCAAAACACACAGTGAGGTCTGGAAAGCCATTCAGCTCAAAGGTAGGCGTCTGTGTTCAGTGCACGTTATAGTGCTCCATTGATTATAACGGGCACTTAGGGCTGGTTTCACTTGCCTGGACATAGGAGCCTAGTGTTATTTTAGGCTCTGCAGGGACACCCATCTGGCCTGAGAGGAGGCCTGATTCTCATAAATCCTGTTTTGTACCTGTCAGCCCCAAGAGGATGTCTCAGACACCCTGGGGCATCTCAAATGACACTAAACACCTATGGCAGCTGAATCCTGGCCTTAGCTCTACACAGACACTTGTCACAGACTTTAGTTTGGGGTGTCTTAATTTGCAAGCTGAGTCCCAAAGCGTATTGCTGGACGAGCCATCACATCACATTGTAGGTTGGTCCAGCTAAATTGATGGGTCTTACTTGCTCATGATGGCTGATTACAGAGTTTTGTCAAAGAAAGCACTTCTCCTTCTCCTGGCAAAATAAAATTCTCAACACCTCCTCAAACTCAGCCTCCTACTGAAAGACAGACATTCGTACAGTGCAGTTGGGTCCAAATCACTTCGGCAGTTCCTCACATCAATATATATAGAGAAGGGCCTTTGCATCTTTTAAGCCCAAAGCGTAGTGTATCCACACTTTCTGCTGTGAGCACCTAACACCGGGTGCCTAGATTAGCTGTTCAGTCTCCCTAGATCCCTGTACAGTTGGGGCAAAGAGGTTTGTTCTTCTGATAGTTTCTCAGAGTATGAAAGGTAGGTTTTTACTATGCAACAGCCCTCTGCAGGGGTTTCTCACTTACACACTTGAAATTAAACACCTATGGCAGATAACGCAAATTTTTCATTTCATAATTACGTTCTTCACCAGGGCAAATGATGATCAGCTTTTACGGGGCTCCCCTGTTTCTGAAGAGTAACACCTCCCATCTCTTGACAGCTTTGTGCCCGGGCACAAACACAAGCTGCTTTCCATCTTGTAGTATGGCCGCACCAAGAAAACTATGTTGTATTTCTGGAGAACTGCTCCTACTAATCCGAAAAAGAGACCTCTGCTTCACCTGCTGTATTCCCATGTCACATATAGTCACACAGAAGACCGCAGTGTGGCCACTGTAGCATGATGGACATCCATACAGAAGTCGGTTTCAACAGCAAAACGAGTGGCAGGATTTCAAGGGCTCAGCATCCACACTGGGACCAGACTTCCCAAAGAACTAAGCTCCTCAAAGGGCTGCAAAGTACGGACCAACTTTTCCAAGTATTCTGCACTCTTGTGCTTCCATGGTGGCCTTTATACACAAAGAAAGCAGAGCTCTGTGGAAAATCTGGTCACCTATTTGGTAGGACCTGAGCTCAAAAATTAAACTTACCAATCACTCATATTGGAATGCCCTTTCCATAGTATACCTATACATTGCTTTCAGCAAGAGATGAAGATGCTGAATGGAATTAGGATGACGGACTCTGGACTTTGAGTGTCTCAATGCGGGGTGAGATCCTTTTTAATAGTGTAGACTCAACACCAGTTTTAGGACCTATAAACGTTTGTTTGTGGGCATGGAAAATCACATGCCTCTTCATTGGACTCTCCATCCATGCAGGGGCAACAGCAGTTCTTTCAGGGCAAAACCAGCCACCATGGCCTACTGTGGATTTATTCTTGCAGGTCCTACAAGGATCCAGGTTACCTTTCTATATATGCAATTGAATACCCTGGGACAGCAGTAGAAGGTATCTTCAAAACCAAAGCCCTGTACACATGTGAAAAACATCAGAGCAGTTTTCACAAGAAAAATGCATGTTTCCATTATATCTCAGACACAGGATTGTCCCTGCTGAGCACTAACCAACGAGCATTTAGTTGGCACTGCCTGCTTCAGAGATTTTGGGATGGGAGGGTAAGAGTCCATTGTTATTGCACGGCAGCATAAGGAAGAAGCAGAGGGATAAGAGAGAGAAGAGACTGAAGCCATCCCTGTTCTCTACAGTCGCAGCGAAGGGATGTGTTTACCTTACCCCCTTGTTGCTCGGTGTCTGGATCTGCCCTCTGGGAGCTGAACAAACACAAGACTGGGGATGGAGGGAAGCCCATCTCTCCCCGTCTGAGGTTTTCTGTTGGAAACCTAAGCCCAAGACACAGGCTGCAGTCTAAGAGCCGATGCGGTGATAGTTTCTCCCCTTATCTCACATTACAGAAGCGACATTTGAAAATGCAGTGAAGCTGTAGCTCTTCAACATGGGCAGCTCTACTCTATGTATGATGCTCACAGCATTTCACATAGAAGAAAAAAAATTCTCAACCAGCAATCAAAACTCAAAATCTTTTCAATGGTTTAAAAGATAATTAGTATTTTAAATAAGGCATACGGGAGAAATCATTGTGCATAGGCACTTCCAAAGCAAACAGTATCACAGCAAGATTCCAGCTAGTGACACAAGTGAAACTAAAGCACAAGAGCTAGAAGGACACGTCAAGGAGAGGTGGTTTTGTCACTAACAACTGTAATTGAACTCAGGGTTAAGAATTCAAGAACTTAACATTTTAAAATAAGAAGTAACATTTTTAATGTGAGCTCTTGCAATGACATATTAAAATACAAACTAAAAAGCGTCATTGCTGCTATTGTAAAGATTCATAAACATGTTCACCCACTGACAGTATAAGGGCAAGGAAAAAGTGAATGAAAGACAAAAAAACCCTATTTCCTGCTCTGTCCATTTAATCCCCAATTCTCTGCTATTGCCAGATCACACAGTAGCATGAATCGGCTTCAGATACAAGATGACCGGGATTAAAACAACAGCATGAGCGCTGCTTGCATCCCAGACTTCATTAGCGGAGTTGATTCAATCGGGGAAAGCTCAGCTAGGCAGAATCACTCACCGCCCTATTTAGCGTGCAGAACATTCACTAAAGTCACTGGCAGTTTGGGGCAAAAAAATCAGCCTCGGGACTCACCGTGACGCCCTTGAAGAATGCTCACAAGTTTCCTAAGCCCCAAGTGAAACCTTCAGCTGACATCTAGCTCCTCACTTAAAAAGTTCAGGTCAAATTCTGTTCTCAGTTAGCATACTATAAGGCTGAACAAATTCCATTCATGTTTGAGGCTTTATTCTAGATTTATCCCACGGGAGATTAACACAGAAATTGGTTCTTCGTGTCATTTAGATTTCAGGGTATTTAAGTGAATCTTCCACGGATTTGAAGGGCTGGCACCTACTAGCCACACCAGCAGCACAGGTTGATCGCATTTTGTTCATCCTTGAAACAAGCAGCAGAAAAGAAAAAAGCATTTGCACCAGAGTTGAGTTTCTGGCTACATCAGTGTGAACAACAATTTAAAACCAGTCTCGTGCAAGAGTGAAAGCAGAAACTTGTCTCCAGTTAACTCAGCTAGCTATAAATATAAAATCACTTCAACAGAACCGATATCACTCGCAGATCCTCCCTAGTTTCTAGTTTGAAGGCAGCAGGCGATGAAGCTGCGTGTACATCTGGGAGGTGGTATACGTGAGCAGAGCACAGCATAACTCACTTTTATCAAGCATTATACAACAGAGGCTTCAGCAAAGTCAGTCTGAGATGGCTGTACCTGGATTACACCAACTCCCGGCAGTTCACCGGAGCGTAACGTGGGTCTGGTTTTGTGAGGCACTGAATACACGCAACTTTCACCGCATTTGGTAAAAGCTGACAGCACCTCGCACCTCGCAAGATCATATCCTGGAAACAGACTACACCATATTAAAAGTAAAAAGATGATCTGAGCCCTGGGAAGGACTTTCACTGTAAGCTGCGAATGCATCTTTACGGAAGTGCTTCTGACTTCCCTTCGCGCCCTTCTCTGATGCTGTCCAGACGCTTTCAAACTTTTACCCGCCCGGCCAGATGAAATTTTGCATCGAGATGACTTTCAGTCTGTGTTTTAGACGTGCTTTTCTCTTACCTATCAAAAACCACGGCAGCGTAGGCTGGCTCCGCAAAGATGACATCCCCAGGCAAGAATTCCTTCTGCGCTTTCAAGCCCCTGCCTTTGCCTTCAGACGTGAACACTTCGACTGACTCCATTCCCCCTTTGGTCATCCCACGGGACCCCACAGCTTGGGAAGCGGGTATCTCGGAGCGAGCCAAATCTCCCGCCACTCCTATCAACCTCAACTTGCCGCAAGACCACGCTTATAAAAGGGCTGGCCTCCCCCCACCCCCGGCCGCAGCGTTTCCCATAGGAGGGCGAGGGGGTGGGAGCAGGAGAGGCAGGAGGCGAAGATCCTCCACGCAATATCGCCGACCTATGCAGGGAAGGCACAGGGCTGGGACTACTGATTCATTAGGAAACCCCCCTCCAAAAACCACGTTTGGAATTGTTTCTCCCAGCCACAAGCAGTTGTATATGTTACAACTCGGATTAATTTATAGTCTCCCATGGGAGAGCGAATGTATTCTCTTTGCAGGGTATTTTTAGCAACCACATGCTTCTGTCTCTCAGGAAGCAACAGCTGAGACAGTGGGACAGGGAGGGCTGGTATACATATTTCTGACCCCTTCCACTGTCATCTGGCTTTTTCCAGAAATTAAACAATGCTGCTTTATTTTTACCCTCTAGGAGATGGACGGCGTGTTTAGAGGCAGGAATAACAGCGAAACACACACCCTGAAATTCTCATGATCCTCTGTCGCCACCAGAGCCTGGAAAAGGGGCGTCACTTCCCAAATGCCGGTGGCGGCAGGCGCACGGAGCAGCGTGGAAGGAGCTGGAAGGACAGCAGCGGTTTGGCGCAGGCTGCGGAAGCAATATCTTAGATATTCGCATAAATTTTGAATGCACGAAACCTCTTCGAAACAGCACTGCATTTGAGGGCACTCCCCACCTCCAGTGCTCAGCCGCGGAAGAGATGGGGGAATTTGAGCCACCTGAGTGGAAAAGGAGGGTGCACCAGTGAGCCCAAACCCCTGGGCAGCCAGGCCCTTGCTTTGCTCTCTGCCCCCAGCAGCCAGTACAACTTCGGGGTGACACAAGGGAAGGCCTCCATGTGCAAGAGTGAACCTTGCTGTGGAAATTGAACCCAGACCAGATCGTTGTTCAGCATTTTTGTATCATTTAATAGCACTTTGTGGGGCTAGTTCCTGCTAATCTCACCCTCCCAGCCCCAGGAAACCTGATGCTATTTCCTCCTGGATCTCCAAGCACCACACAGATATCAGCGTCTGCAAACCTCTTCCCACACCTCTGTGCTGCACAGAAAAACCTGTCTGCTTTAACAGGGAAAGCGAGGTGCAGAGAAATAAAGAGGGTCATTCCTGTGCATCCCTAGACTGTAAAAGAAATGCTTTACTTTGCCAAGGCAGTGGGAAGTATCATCGTGCTCTTCAAGACAGCCACAGAACTGCTCAGCATCTTCTGCTAACAGCTTCTGGCAATTTTCCTTGCCTGCAGATGAAGTATGGTATCACACTTCAGCACAAATATCCTGTGTTATAGTTTGCCCGCGCGTGCCAAGCACAAACAATATCAATCCACGGCTCTATAAATTCAGGGTGATCCAGGTATTCATGTGATTATGAGCAATCTTCCCCAAACAAGCAGACTCCTCCACTTGTCCTGAGGAGGGCCAGAGCCCTTGCGGAGCCGTCAGCACAAACCTCCCAGCCTTTACCCTGCGCAGCATAGAAAAGTCACCACAGGCAATTAGCCTCTACAAGCAATTACAATTTTAATTGCAATGCTCTGCTTGTGTGATATGTAACATCAGGTGTTCTGGTCTCACCTGTTACCCATGTTGAATTCCCCTGGGTGTAAGTGCCTTTTAGATATACATATTTGCCAGCAGTACTTTAGCACCTCAAAATTAGGTGCTGATTTTTTTTTCTCAAAAAAGACTGATTTGGAGCGTGGTTATATTGAACCCAGTCATTAATCACGCTAAATACTGTTTCTGATTCCCAGGTAACAAAGAATATGGAATAGAATAGAATAACAAAGAATATAACTATAACAAAGAATGTAATTATATCTTTTCAAAGTAGCCAACTAAACCCAACAGATCAAAGTCCTTCTAAGACAGCGTTACAACAGAGCAGGTCTCTGCACAGTCCGTGGTGTACCCAGTACAATGCACCCCTCACCCCTTCAGATCACAAAAAAAACCCAAACATTTTGGCTGAGACAGAGCGTAGCAAAAGTCTCATTTCTCCCCTTCCAGCCCGGCGAATGCCACGGTGGTGTGTGCTCAGTTGGGTCATACAGGAGGAGATCAGCCATCTGGCTGCGCATCACACCCTTGGTACCACCGGGCCACGGTTTCAGACCCAGCTGTGTGCAAAAATATGGTGATAAAACTGTCACTCTGGGGAAAAAAAAAAACAAAACAACAAAACACCGGGAACACTGGAGAGGGCCAAAAGAGGCTGGTAATGGGGATTCCTGCATTTTAAATACCTATTTGGAGCAGTGACCCTACTTTCAACCCCTTGGAAACACATTGAATTTCAAAGGCATGGCACGATTTTGGGGTGCCGAGCAAGGCTGACCCTCCAACAGCAGGTTATTCTGCCCTGCGGATCTGTCTGGATATGGGGCTGGAGGGGTGAGTGGCCCCGTCCTCCTAACAGGAGAATAAACAGCACCCTCTACTGCCCTCTAAAAAATTATCCAAAGCACAATTTTATCAAATTCAATCGCAGAAGCTTTGGTCTGTGGAGAGCAGTACTCAGACAAGCCATGAATTAGAGAGAAAAATGGGAAAAAAAAGAGGGAAAAAAGCAACTGTCCTAGGTGGGTGCTAAATGTCATCACCTGCAGGGCGAGGGTGGGCCCTGCGTCCCGATGAAACCCCTTTTTGGGGCGACAGTGGGGAAAATTTGGGGGCAATTAAGACTGCCTGTTCTTCTGGGGGTGGGCGTAATTCGGCCCTGGGGAGGGAGGGAGGGAGGGAGGGATGGATGGATGGATGGATATAATGGATGGATGGATGGATGGATGGATGGATGGATGGATGGATGGATGGATGGATGGATGGATGGATGGGGTGATCGAGGGGAGGGCTGGCTGGTGGGTTGGCAGCCATCTGGGGGATTTTGGGGGTGTTTTGGGTGCCAGGGGCAGAGAGGAGCCACCCAATGTGAGGAGGCCTGCAGTTACTAGTGGTTTCTAGTCACATAGTAGGCAGCTAGGAGGAAGTTACTAGGCAGGCACTGAGCTAACTAGTAGTTACCAGGTGGTTACTACAACGTTACTAGGCTCTTACTAGTAATTAGACAGTTGTTAGGCAGTTACGAGTTTGTTGCTAGTAGTTCGTGGCAGTTTCTAGTCAGTTACACGTAGTCCCTAGTCAGCTGGTGGGCTGCGGGCCCCTGAGGGGGAGGCCGGGCCGGGCGCAGGGCAGCCGTGAAGGCGGGCTGGGGCCCGGCGGGACCCGCTGGGGGCCGGGGGTTACAGCGCACCCGCCGGAGCGGTTAAAGCACTGAGGGTGGCGGGGTGAAGCCGGACCGCAGGAGGAGCTCGTTACGGGAGAGGCGGTGGCCGGGGCCCGTTAAGGTGTCCGGCCCCGAAGGCGGGGAGGCTTCCCTGCCGCCTCCGCTCGCTGCCGCCCGCCGCGAAGGTGAGTGGGGCCCGGCCCCGCGGAGCCTCAGGGCCGTGAGGGGAGAGGCGGTGCAGGGGCCTGTCAGCGTGCGGTAGGGGCACGGTAGTGCCGTTCCCGCTGTGAAATAAAGTGTGTTCTCATGATGCCGGTATTGCCAAGTAATAGGCGTTTGATGCCAAAGGCAGAAATTAATGAGGAGTAAAACGCAATGAGATACTTGTCTGTATGTTGCGTGTGGAAGGAGCAGGTAGGGTAGCTCACATTGGTCCAAACTGTTTGATACGCGGCTTGTAAAAAGTAATCTTACATTTAATTCTTCAGTGCAAAGGGGTCTTGCTTGAGCTTCATAAGCGAATCTCGTGCTTCTGGGACAGTAAGATGACAAATGGGTTACTTTTATACACCAGACCTGTGATATAAAACCCTTGAATTGAATCTTAAGGTCGTGGCTGAGAAGCGATGGGAGCTTTCCATGTCCTCTCCTCCCCAGGTAATCTCTCCTGAAATCTAGCAAATAGCACCTAAAAAAAAAAAAAAAAAAGCTTTGGCTTTCCAGGAACACCAAGCTGTTCAAAATGGGTATAAAATACTTGCATGTTGAAAGGCTTTGGGCAATGGTTTATAAGCATTGACTATTCAGTTGTATAATGAAAAGTTTAAAAAAAAGCGCCACACACATAGCAATGCATAAACATGAGCTTTTGCTAAATATGTGAAACATCCGTTAACAGCAGATTTCCCCATTGTCAGTTAAATTTAGTAGTACTCTTCAACAGAAATAACTCTGGTGGAATTAATCACTGTTTAAAAAGCTGACAGCTATTTTAGGCAGTCAGCTTTCTGGAGGGAAAGAAGCAACACAAGTATGTACACTCTTCAAAGGAATATACTTGGGGAAAGTTAGGAATGTGGTCTTGCTATGTTTAGGTTTAAATTCCATTTTTCACACATATTTCTTGAACTTAATTGTCATGTTCCTGAACTCCAAAATGTGCTTTGGCGTGTTAGCAACAAAGCCTTTAACTTTAAAGCTACTTTGACCTCCTAGGAATTTCAAGGGATTTTAAAGGTCTGAAGGTTGTGTTTCTTAAATTGTCAGTGTTTAGAGGTATCTCACACCCTTATTTTTAGCGCACAGCTGGTCCAGGTTTTGTCATGAGCCAGACAGAGCAAGGATTGCTGGTTATGCTTTTCAGTTCATACCTGTGCCAAACAAGCTGTGGAAATGGGTATTATGGGTCATTTCTGGTTTGATAGCCTGTTGGGGAGGGAGGGTATCATTTTCTTAAATACAAAATTAGCAGTAGCTTTTGGCTTTGGAAACTTTATGTGGCAACAGTTCTTGCTAATTTCTTCACACACACAACCCCTTGGGGTTTTTGTTTGTTTGTTTTAGCCTAAGGAGTTTCTTTTGACCCAGTGGCAACAAGATCAAAACGCTTGGTACCTGTAAGAGTGTAGTTAATCTGTAGTTAGAACCATACATCCTTTTTCAAGACTCGGTGTATGACTAATTTTCCTCTCGCCCTCCTTCTCTATTCTACACATCTTTTTCACTTACTGGAGGGAAAAAAGGAGTCAGGTACCAATTCACTGATCATGTGTTTCTCACCCAGCATTCCACAAGCCCGTCCTAAATAGCACTGACAGTAGGCTGGGAAATAACATTGCACAAACTACTGTCATACGATTGTATGGAAGCGTTTATATGTCAGAAGAGAGCTGGGCAGAAGGGTAAGTAACTTGTCTTAAACCTGCCTCAGAGAGTTTACAAAGTGGGGATTGGG